TGATGTCTCTACTCTTCAATATTTGATCGCGATTGGTCATTGCTCTCCTCCCAAGAAGTAAACGTCTTCTGACTTCCTGGCTGCATTCTGCGTCTGCAGTAATCTTTGCACTAGAAATAAAAGTCTGTCACTGCCTCCATGTTTTCTCCCTCAATTTGCCAGTTATCAATCATTCTTGTTGCCATACTCTTGGTTTTTTTATGTTTAACTGCAACCCAGCTTTTGCACTTTCTTCTTTCACCTTGATTAGAAGGCTCCTCAGCTCCTCCTCACGTTCGGCCATCAAAGTGGTATCATAGTAAGATACAGAGATCAAAAATACCACAATTAGTCTTCAGGTCTGGGTCACTGTGAGTTTTCCGGGCTGTATGGCCATGTTTCAGAAGCACTGTCTCCTGACGTTTCACCCACATGTATGACAGGCATTGATGATGGATCACTCTAACAACTCTCCTCTCCACCAAAGTCAACATGGACACCGAAATACAACACCGCCTGAACTCTAAGAGTGCAGCATTTTTTCAAATGAAGCAGAGAGTGTTTGAGGGCTGGGACATCCATAGAGATACCAAGGTACTTGTTTATAAAGCTATTGTCCTCCCAACCCTGCTGTATGCCTGCAACGTGGACAGTCTACAGGCGTCACATGCAACTTCTGGAACAATTCCATCAGTGCTGCCTCCGGAAAATCTCTTGGGAAGACAGGCAGACAAATGTCAGCATGCTGGAAGAAGCAAAGACCACCAGCATTGAAGCGATGGTCCTCCGCCATCAACTCCACTGGACCGGCCACGTTGTTCGGATGCATGACCACCATCTCCCAAAGCAGTTGCTCTACTCCGAACTCAAAGATGGAAAATGGAATTTTGGTGGGCAGGAAAAGAGATTTAAAGATGGGCTCAACGCGAACCTTAAAAACTCTGGCATAGGCACTGAGAACTGAGAAGCCCTGGCCTGTGAGCACTCCAGCTGGAGGTCAGTTGTGACCAGCAGTGCTGCAGAATTTGAAGAGGCATGAATGGAGGATGAAAGAGAGAAACGTGCCAAGAGGAAGGCGCATCAAGCCAACCCTGCCAGGGGCCGCCTTCCACCTGGAAACCAATGCCTTCACTGCAGGAGACGATGCAGATCAAGAATAGGGCTCCATAGTCACCGATGGACCCACCCTGGAGGATTGTCCTACTCGGACACCGAGGGATCGCCTAAGTAGTAAATTTTCTCCCTCTATATGCCAGTTATCAATCAATCCGGTTGCCATAATCTTTGTTTTTTTGATGCTTAGCTGCAACCCAGTTTTTGCGCTTTCTTCTTTCATCCTGATTAGAAGGCTCCTCAGCTCCTCCTCGCTTTCAGCCATCAAAGTGGTATCACCTGCATATCTACGGTTGTTAATGTTTCTTCCAGCACTTTTCACCCCAGCCTTGGATTCGTCAAGCCCCGCAGATCGCATGATGTGTTCTGCATACAAGTTGAATAGGTCGGGTGAGTGTATACTACCCTGCCATATGCCTTTCCTAATCTTGAAGCAGTCTGCTTTTCCATGGTCTGTTTTTACTGTTGCTACTTAGTTATTATATACAGATTCCTAAGTAGACAGGCAACGTGATTTGTTCTCCCCAGACCACCAAGAAGAGTATGAGATTGGTCCTCAAATCCTCGTTGACTAATGAATTTATTTTATTTATTTAATACACTTGTATACCGCTAATATCTCAGCCTAAATCGGCGACTCATTGCGGTTTACAGCAATTAAAAGCAATGTACAATTTAAAACAACAACACGTAAACAATACAAATTATTGGGCCACCAATAATAATACCATGCTTCTCGTCACAAAAATCACAGTCCAGAGTTCGTCATCCATAGTTAACCAGTCCTTAGTCTATAAATTCAATAGTAACAAACTAATTGAATGCTTGTTTACACAACCATGTTTTTAATCTCTTCCGAAAGACCATCAGCGAAGAGGCTGATCGTATCTCTATAGGGAGGGTGTTCCAAAGCCGAGGGGCCACCACAGAGAAGGCCCTGTCTCTCGTTCCCGCCAGCCGCACTTGGGAAGCCGGTGGGATAGAGAGCAGGGACTCTCCAGAAGATCTTAGGGTCCTGGTGGGCTGATAGGCTGAGATACGTTCGGATAGATAAGTTGGGCCAGAACCGTTTAGGGCTTTAAAGGCCAAAACCAGCACTTTGAATTGAGCCCGGTAGCATATCGGCAGCCAGTGGAGCTGGTGCAGCAGAGGAGTTGTGTGCTCCCTGCGCCCCGCTCCTGTTAGTACCATGGCTGCCGCCCGTTGGACTACTTGGAGCTTCCGGACTGTCTTCAAAGGCAACCCCACGTAGAGAGCGTTGCAGTAATCAAGGCGGGATGTAACCAGAGCGTGGACTACCGTGGCTAAGTCAGACTTCCCAAGGTACGGTCGCAGTTGGCGCACAAGTTTTAACTGTGCGAATGCTCCCCTGGTCACCGCCGAAACCTGGGGTTCCAGGCTCAGCGATGAGTCCAGGATCACACCCAAACTGCGAACCTGTGTCTTCAGGGGGAGTGCGACCCCATCCAACACAGGCTGTAATCCTATACCCTGTTCGGTCTTACGACTTACCAGGAGTACCTCTGTCTTGTCTGGATTCAATTTCAATTTGTTCGCCCCCATCCAGACCGTCACAGCGGCCAAGCACCGGTTCAGGACCTCGACAGCCTCCTTAGTAGCAGGTGGAAAGGAGTGACAGAGCTGGACATCATCTGCATACAGATGACATCTCACTCCGAAACTCCGGATGATCTCGCCCAGCGGCTTCATGTAGATGTTAAACAACATGGGAGACAGTATTGAACCCTGAGGAACCCCACAAAACAAAGGTTGTGGGGTTGAGCAGGAGTCTCCCAGTAACACCTTCTGAGACCGACCCTTGAGGAATGAGTGGAGCCACTGCAGAACAGTACCTCCCAGACCCATCCCCGCGAGGCGTCCCAGAAGGATACCATGGTCGACGGTATCGAAAGCTGCTGAGAGGTCGAGCAGCACCAACAGGGACACACTCCCCCTGTCGAGCTCCCGACGCAGATCATCCACTAAGGCGACCAAGGCTGTCTCAGTACCATGCCCCGGCCTAAAGCCAGACTGTGCCGGATCCAGATAATCCGTGTCTACCAAGAATGCCTGGAGTTGTGAGGCCACCACACGTTCCATGACTTTGCCCAAAAAGGGGAGATGGGAAACAGGCCGATAGTTGACGAATTGAGTGGGGTCCAGTGATGGTTTCTTCAACAGCGGTTTTATCACAGCTTGCTTTAAGCTGGCTGGAATTTTGCCCTCCCGAAGGGAGGCATTAACCACCACCTTCACCCACTCGGCCAATCCCCCTCTGGCCTCCTTCAGAAGCCAGGATGGGCAGGGGTCTAGGATGCATGTGGTTGCTCTCATCCTCTCCAAGCACCTTGTCCACATCCTCGGATTGAACCAATTGAAATGAATCCATCAAAACGGACAAGCAGATGCTCGTGTTACATCCTCAGATACTGCCGTTAATATGGTATCCAGTCCAGAGCGGATCAAAGCGACTTTGTCTGCGAAGAACCGAGCAAAAGCTTCGCAGCGAGCTGCCGAGTCATCAGGGCACCCATCCTGAGTGGTGGGTTTTAATAGGCCTCTGACAACTCGGAACAGTTCAGCCGGACGGTTCTTAGCAGACGCAATAGTGGCCGCAAAGAAGGTTTTCTTTGCGGCTTTTATTGCCGCGGCATATGCCCTTAAAAAGGACACAAACCGTGTTCGATTTGGCTCGCTCGGATCCGAACGCCACACGCTCTCTAGTTCCCTCTTCTTTCGCTTCAACGCTGCCAGCTCCTCGGTGAACCAAGGAGCTGGTTTAGCTCGGCTACTTGAGAGGGGACGTTCTGGAGCGATCGTGTCTATTGCCCTAGTCATCTCCCTCTCTCACTCAGGGTGAATCTCACTCTCACCCTGATCAAACTTGCAGGGTTGCCAAGACAAGACAAGTGAAAAGAAAAGGGGCGAGTACTTGACAACTGGAAAATAGAGGGAGAAAATGTGGAGGCCGTGACAAACTTTGTATTTCTAGGTGCAAAGATTACTACAGATGCAGACTGTGGCCAGGAAATGAGAAGACGCTTACTTCTTGGGAGGAGAGCAATGTCCAATCTCGATAAAATCATAAAGAGTAGAGACATCACACTGGCAACAAAGATCCGCCTAGTCAAAGCCATGGTATTCCCTGTAGTAACCTACGGATGTGAGAGCTGGACCTTAGGGAGGGCTGAGCGAAGGAAGATAGATGCTTTTGAACTGTGGTGTTGGAGGAAAGTTCTGAGAGTGCCTTGGACTGCGAGAAGATCCAACCAGTCCATCCTCCAGGAAATAAAGCCCGACTGCTCATTGGAGGGAAGGATACTAGAGACAAAGTTGAAGTATTTTGGCCACATCATGAGGAGACAGCAAAGCCTGAGAAGACAATTATGCTGGGGAAAGTGGAAGGCAAAAGGAAGAGGGGCCGACCAAGGGCAAGATGGATGGATGGCATCCTTGAAGTGACTGGACTGACCTTGAAGGAGCTGGGGGTGGTGACGGCCGACAGGGAGGTCTGGCGTGGGCTGGTCCATGAGGTCACGAAGAGTCAGAGACGACTGAACGAATGAACAACAACACTCAATCCTAGCTTAATGAAGAATACAAATGTAACTCATAAATAAAATAATAGATGAATCTGTTTTCCAAGCACAGTATCCGGGGGGGGGGGGGGGGTGCCATTGTAAACATCCTAGCCAATACTATGAAAATCCCCTATGTTAGTATAGCCTGGAAAAGTTACCCAAAAAACATCAACTTGCAGAATTCCTCCAAATGGGTTATAAGATATTGGAAACTCTAGTTCAAGACATTGACTGTTTCCAGTGTCTGCTGGTAAAATCGAACACACAGCCAAATTTGAATCGAGAAGAATATAGGCCCGTGAAATCCCCATCTATAAGTTGCCTTACCAGGTTTTTGAAAAGTGCGGTCACTTCCCTTGTGAAGACGGCTAGATTGAGGAAGCCCGTGGAAAGCTCGTGATTGTTCTGAGAAAGGTGGTTGTTTCCTAAGTTCTCCAGCATTTCACTGTATTGTTCTTCATTTTCCACATGCGCTAAGAAAAACGACACCAAGAAAAAAGAATCCGATAAAGAGGACAGATTGGACTCTATATGAAAACTACGAAAAGGAAAGAAGCAAATAAGAGGAATATTATGAAGTGGATATAATGGAAATATTATTGAGGACACAACACCTGATGGAGAGATGGAAGTCAATTTTTACCATACCTTTTTTCTATTTTTCCTGTTTTTTATATTTTTGTATTTTTATGGTTTGTTTGTTTGTTTGTTTTTTTGTGTTGGTGGACTTGGGGGTAGGGGTGTGTACTTCCTATTTTTTCCTAGTTTCCTATCATCTTTTTTAATATTCTCCCTCTTTCGATGTTATTTTTAAAACTTTAATAAAAACTATTTAAAAAAAGAAAAAGAAAAAAGAGTCACATCTTCACACTGGTCTCCATATAAATGAATTGCAGGTAGGCTGTTGGGAATTGTGCTGGCTTTGGCCTATAAAGCCCTAAACGGCCCCGGCCCAATTTACCTATCTGAACGAATCTCCCCCTATGAACCACCACAGAGATTAAGATCTTCTTGGGAGGCCCTGCTCTCGGTTCCACCACCATCACAGGCGCGTTTGGCGGGGACGAGAAACAGGGCCTTCTCAGTAATTGCCCCTCAGCTATGGAACTCCCTTCCTAATGAGATCAGGTCAGCCCCCTCCCTCTTGTCCTTTAGAAGGATGATAAAAACATGGCTGTGGGGCCGAGCCTTTGGGACTGTGCAATGAGGCAGCGATAGGAACCCTTAGTATGCCAACCAAATTCGATATGGTTGTTGAGACAGTTTTAACTAGTGGATTTTAACATCAAGGTAAGTGATTTTAATGCTTTTGTATGTGGATGGTGTAATACAGGGGTCCCCAAACTATGGCCCGCGGGCCGTATGCGGCCCGCCGAGGGCATTTCTCCAGCCCGCACGGCCTGGCCTGGCCACGCCCACCCGGCGCCGCTCCGCCAATTGCGGACACCCTCTGCTCCGGCTGCTCTGCCTGTGTGGGAGGGAGAAGCCTCCCAGGTGGGTCCTCTGCAGAGCAGAGCGGCTGGAGCAGAGGGTGTCTGCAATTGACGGAGCGGTGCTGGGTGGGCGTGGCCAGGGAACGCCGGCGTGGTGAAGGCAGGTGAACTACAACTCCAAAACTCAAGGTCAATGCCCACTAAACCCAGTATTTTCTGTTGTTCATGGGAGTTCTGTGTACCAAGACTGGTTCAATTCCATCATTGGTGGAGTTCAGAATGCTCTTTGATTGAACTATAAATCCCAGCAAATACAACCCCCAAACGCCACCAGTGTTCACATTTGGACATATTGAGTATCAGTGCCAAGTTTGGTCCAGATCTATCATTGAGTCCACAGTGATTTATGGAGGCAGGTGAACTACAACTCCAAAACCAAAGGACACTGCCCACCAAACCCTTCCAGTATTTTCTGTTGGTCATGGGAGAACTGTGTGCCAAGTTTGGTTCAATTCCATCGTTGGGGGTCAGAATGCTCTTTGATTGTAGGTGAACTATAAATCCCAGCAACTACAACTCCCAAATGTCAAGATTCTATTTTCCCCAAACTCCACCAGTGTTCACTTTTGGGCATATTGAGTATTTGTGTAGAGTTTGGTCCAGATCCATCATTGCTTGAGTCCACAGTGATCTCTGGATGTAGGTGAACTACAACTCCAAAACGAAAGGACACTGCCCACCAAACCTTTCCAGTATTTTCAGTTGGTCATGGGAGAAATTTTTTTTCGCACCAATTTTTTGTGTGAAGGACATACATTGGGTTGTTAGGTGTCTTGTGTCCAAAATTGGTGTCAATTCGTCCTGTGGTTTTTGAGTTCTGTTAATCCCACAAACGAACATTACATTTTTATTTATATAGAAGTGTGGGTTTTTGTTTTTTGATTTTGGGGTGGGGGGGGGGGGTTGCACTGCAAATAATATATGTGCAGAGTGCATAGGAATTCATTCATTTTTTTTTTCAAATTATAATCCAGCCCTCCAACAGTTTGCGGGACTGTGACTCGGCCCTCTGTTCAAAAAGTTTGGGGACCCCTGGTCTAATGTTTCGGCATTGAATGTTTGCCGTTTATATGTTGTGCTCCGCCCTGAGTCCCCTTCAGGGTAAGAAGGGCGGAATATAAATGCTTCCCTGGAGGGAAGGCCAAAGTTGCTCCATGACTGGGCTAAGTGATCTAGCCACACTACATGTCTTCTTAAGTAACAACACAGATATAATGATTATGCCTTAATTTAAAAGAGATCCTTAGACAACATTCTTGCCGCATAATATATTCATTTTCCTCTCAGTAGATTATGCAAGACTCAACTCAGCCAAGTGCTGCACCAAAGCCTGTTATTTGCTGCTGGCTACAAGCAACTTCCAATGTGACCGTAAGATATATCTACACATTGCTGAGAAGGAAGTGGCTGTCAAGGAATGTTTAGAAACAGTACAGCTGCTTTGAGGAAGCAAGCACAGGCATTCTGGTGCATGGGAAAGTTTGATAACAGGAGGGTGTCTAACCTAAAAATGAAAAGAACAGCAGAACTGCTCAGAAATTGTGACCCAGGGGAAAAAAACTGAAGCAGACATATGGAGAAATTGTTTTTTATATATACTAGTCGTCCCCTGCCACGTGTTGCTGTGGCCCAGTCTGTGTATATGTGTTTTGTGTGTGTGTGTGTATATATGTGTGTGTGTATATATATATATATATCTGTGTATATATGTGTGTTTGCATATATATATATATGTGGGTGTATATATGTGTGTGTATATATATATGTGTATATATTTGTGTGTTTATATGTGTACATGCATATTGTGTATATGTGTGTATATATTTGTGTATATATGTGTGTTTGCTTATATATGTGTGTGCATATGTGTGTGTATATATTTGTATATTTGTGTGTTTATATGTGTACATGCATATTGTGTATATATGTGTACATATATATATATATATATATATATATATATATGGGTGCATATATGTGTGTGTATATATATGTGTGTATATATTTGTGTATTTATATGTGTACATACATATTGTGTATATGTGTGTGCTTGTCTATACGCGTATTTGTGTGTATATATGTATGTATGTGGATATATATGTGTGTGTGTGTGTGCTTGTGTATACGTATATTTGTATGTATATGAATGTGTGTATTGTGTGTTTGTACGTGTGTATGTATGAATGTGTGCATGTGCATATGTATTTGAGTGTATGTGTATATGTATATATGGTGTATTTTGGGGGGTTTTAAGTCTGGTCTGCTGGGGTTTTGTATGTGTGTGTGTGTTTATGGGTGATGGACACTCGTTGGACTGTTAGGTGTGTTGTGTCCAAATTTCGTGTCAATTCGTCCAGTGGTTTTTGAGTTCTGTTAATCCCACAAACTAACATTACATTTTTAAATCTATATCTCTATCTATCTATATGGGGTATGCGATTTTTTTGTTAATTGTCGTAAGTCATCAAATTTGTTAAATTCGTACTTATGATGCAATATCTGACACATGGGCATGACCTGTGCCAAAAACTTAAAAATTGAAACTTGCCCAATACATTTTCATTTGCATTTTGAAAATCTCCGAAACCTCCCAAAATCAGTTTCCTGTGCAGCTCAAGGAAGCAAAGCAAAGCCAAAAAGGAAAGCAGCAGGAAGGAAGCAGAGTTTGCTGGCAAAGAGACGGAGAAAGCACAGGATTCTGGGAAATGTAGTTTGGGACGGAGAGGAGCCCTATGCCAGATAATGCAAATGGCCTTGCCCTGAACTACATTTCCCAGAATTCTCCTCAGCATCAGAAAGCCCCAGTCAGAAGAGGGGAGAGGTGTGTCCCTCCCTTGAAGAGGCCAGCCAGAGTTCCAATTAATGAAAGGATCTTCAAAGAGGAGGACTTGCTGAGACTTCTAGGAAGTCAATCTCTGTGCTTGGATGGGAAGAAATCCCTCAATGGAAGTTCTATTGGTTAATATGAGAGAGAGAAAGAGACTTTCAATGAGATAGCTGTTGTGGCTTAAAAAAAACAATTTTGTCAAAAAAAATTTGTTAAAAAAAATCCCTAAAATCAGTAGATGTATGAATATTTTTGAAAGTTGGGGGAATTGAATTGGATAACTGTTTTAGGTTTTTTTTTAAAAAATGTTGTTTATAAAAACTTTGAAAATTCTCCAAAAATTGATGGATAAGTGAAACGTCCTGAAACTTGATGGGCTCATAGTGGTAAATGTGTTCTACCATTGTTGCAAGTTTCACCCTAATTGATGAAAAAAAATTCAAAACTCATGACAAAATTAGAGGGCACGGGCTTCTCATTTCTAAAGTGTTGTTAGTGAAAATTTTGTTACTATAACGAGAGTTATTACTTTTTCGTATAGTAATTGTGCAAGTGGGGAAACTTCTGGGACCTTTTTCTCCCTCATTTTAACAGCTATTGAATTTGATACAACTTACGGCGACTAATGAAAAAAATGCACTTCCCTAATATATATAGGGAGGCATGTTATACTGGATAACAAACTTTGGGCAAAGTTTGTATGTCCACCTCAAGACGCTACCATTCCGTTAAGATCACTCCTTCAATAGTTGGACATGGCGCAAGACTGTTTCCAAAGCTTGGAAAGGTTGGTTTGGACAACATAATACTGCAAAAATAGTCCAATATACAACATATGCATGCCAAAATAGTCCAATATACAACATATTAGTACAAAAATAGTCCACTACCCCACATATTAGTGCAGTGTTTCTCAACCTGGGGTTCGCGACCCCCCGAGGGCTCGCCTGGCCATTTCAGAGGTGTCACAAGGTTGCCTCCTTTGCCCCCCCCCCCTCCAACTCCCAAAATAGCGGCCAGGCCCTGGGACCACCCTCTTCTCACCCCCTTCAAGGCCTCTGCTGCTGGTGGAAGCCTCAAAAAACGGCGAGGGGAGCGTGGAGCAGCAGGAGCAGCGAGGATTGCCTTCACCCTTCTCTGGGCTCTTCTTCTTCCTCCTCTTCATTTGGGGACCTCCAAACGGAGAGGAGGAGGGGGAAGACCCTGGAAGAGAAGGAGGACAAGCCTCGCTGCTTCTGCCGGCCTGTGCCACCCTCTTCTCGCCCCCTTCGAGCCCTCCGCCACTAGTGGAAGTCTCGAAAAGGGCGGGAGGAGTGTGGGGCAGCAAAGCTTGCACTCGCCTTTCTCCTCTGGGCTCTTCCTCCTCCTCCTCTCCATTTGGGGACCTCCAAACGGAGAGGAGGAGGGGGAAGACCCTGGAAGAGAAGGAGGACAAGGCTCACTGCTTCCGCCGCCCTGTGCCACCATCTTCTCATCCTCTTCGAGGCCTCTGCCACTGGTGGAAGCCTCGAAAAGAGCGAGAGGAGCGTGGTGCAGCAGGAGCAGCGAGGCTTCCCCTCGCCCTTCACGTCTGGGCTCTTCTTCCTCCTCCTCTCCGTTTGGGGACCTCCAGTATTTTCTGTTGGTCACGTGGATTCTCTGTGCCAAGTTTGGCCCAGTTCTGTAATTTGTGGGGGGTCTCAGTGGTCTGTGGAAGTCAGAGCTGAATCAGTTGAAGATACTGCAAATCCCATCATCCATTATCCATACTCCCCCAAACTTATTATTTTTATGATTACTATGCATTAATTAGGTTCAATTTGTAACAATTAAAATACAGCCTGCATAACATATATTTACATTATGATTCATAACAGTTGTGAAATTACAGTTCTAAAGTAGCAATGAAAATAATGAAAATAATGAAAATAATTTTATGCTTGGGGGTCACCATAACACGAGGAACTGTATTTAGGGGTCACGGCTTTAGAAAGGTTGAGAACCACTGTATTCGTGCAAAAATAGTCCAATATACAGCACATTAGTGCAAAAATAGTATAAAACTCCAGCCCTTTGTGAATCCAGTACAGCAGTCTTTGGCAATAGATTCCTAGCAGTTCAAAAGAGTTTCCAAACATCTCTGGACCTGCTTTTTAATCACTAGGTACAGAGTTGCATTCCTTCCCCTGGCAGTAGCCCAATGAAATGCCCATTCCTCACAGGTCCTTCTGCCCCATCTCCTTCACTGTCATGGGGAAGTATACAGAGTTATTCACTTACTGAGTCCAGAAGCGTGGATTGCTTTCACATATTTCCTGATCCGCTGGAGAATGGCTTGGTCTCCATCCAAACTCTGCAAAAAAAAAAACATAGTGGTTGATTGCGGTGGAGGAGAAAGGAGGGGGTTTGCCAGGCCACACTGAGGCCCTTTGAAGCTCTTGCGTTTGGCAGATGAGCAAAGCAGCTGCCAAGATTCCCAAAACTGGAATGGGCATATCCCAGGATGGGGGAAGAGAGAGAGGGCTTAAAAGTGCTTAAATTGCAAAGAGTAGAAAATGAGGAGTGGCTCCATGCCCAGCTCTTCCTTTGATGTAGCTTGGTGGCAAAACATACATTTTGCATACTATGCGCATGGAAACAACCATAGGATATGTGGCAGCAGATAATGAGAAACCCCCATTCTGTCTGTGGTATTGGAAAGCAACTGCAGCCCGAAGAGGAGAGTTTGGTAATGCCAAACTCTCATCACCCAGAGAGTTTTCCCCAATGCTTTCCTTAATCCTGGAGAGAAATGGATAGTGGGTGGCCCTTAAGGGTTCTGTCCTTGCCCCAATATAGGTCAATCTATCTATATATATAAAATCCAAAAGGGCGTCGTTAGGGGCCGCAAAACGCGAAAACCCCCGGACAAAAAATCACCAAACTTGGCGTACGCATACCTCAAACCACAAGGTATGCAGAACACTCATCACAACTCAAAAAAACATAACAACAAACTCACAATTACACAACCAAACGGAGCATGCGCAGAGGAGTCCCGGCGCTAGTCGCCCGGCGCGCGCACATGGCCGCACCACGCCCCCTCTGTGCAAGCCACGCCCCCTCCCATCGCCGCCCCGCCCCGCCCCTTCCCCCATGCCAAACCGAGCGCGGCCTAGGCGCCGATGCTGAAGCCCCAGCCTGGGAGTGGGAGCTTGCCGCCTGTGCACGCTGGGGGCCGGCCTGGTGCACATGCAGCGCGGGGGGCTGTCCACCTTCCACGGGCCCGGACACCTGGTGGCCTTCCCAGGGCTGGACCAGCGGAGGCTGCCCGGGAGGCCCCCGCTGCGCACCTTCATGGCCCCCCTGGGAGAGGCCGCAATCCGCCCCTCCCAAGGACAGCCCTTCGGCCTCCGCCACGCCCGGCCCAGGCCGCCCCTGCACACCAGCGTCTGGCTCCAGGGAAGGAAGGATGCCGCCATCGGAGACTATGAGGAACGGGAAGGAGGGAAGGAAGCGGGTGAGGGAAAGAAGGACGGAAATGAGGGGAAGGGGTGTAAATAGGAAGGAAGGAAGGAAGGAAGGAAGGAAGGAAGGAAGAAAAGTGGGAAGGGGAAGGGAAGGTGTAGGAACGAAGGAAGGAAGGAAAGAAGGAAGGCAGTTATATCAGAGAAGAAAGGTAGGAAATAAACAAAAGGAGGGAAGGGGAAGGGAAGGTGTATGAAAAAAGGAAGGAAGGAGAAGTTGGGAAAGTATATGAGGGAAGAAAGGTAGGAAAGAAAGAAGAAAGAGAGAGTAGGAGCATGGGAAAGAAGGGAGAAAGGAAGGAAGAAGAAGAGAGAGAGAAAGGAAGGGAGGAACCAAAGAGCAAGGAAAGCAAGGAAAGAAACAACAGAAACAAAGGGAAGGGCGAGGAAAGAAAGCCAATATGAATCCTCCAAACTCAAAAAGGGCAGGAGGGAAGGAGGGCAGGGAGCGGAGGATGAGAGGAGGCGGTCAGCGGAGGAGGAGGGAGGGAGGGGGGTGCAAGGGAACTACATCCTTTCCTAAGAAAGAAAGAAAGAAAGATAAGAAAGAAAGAGAGATAATAGAAAGACTAAAGAAAGAAGAAGAAAGCAAAAAAAGACGGAACCAGAGAGAAGAAGGAAAGGAGGAGGGATAAGAGACTTCTAAGAGAGGGAAGAAAGGAGACAAAGAGGAAGGAAAAGAAAAAGGGAGGAGGAAGGAAAGAGGTACAGAAGGAAGGAGGAGAGAAGGAAAGAAAAAAGGGAAGGGAGGAAAGACGCAGCAAAGGAAAAAGAGAAAGAAGGAGAGAAAGACGCAGGGAAGGAAATAAATAAGGAGAAGGAAGGATGAAAGCAAACAGCTAAGGAAGGAAGTAAACAGGTAGAGAAGGAAGAAAGGAAAGAAGAAAACGGAATGAAGGAAGGAGTGAAAGAAGCAGAGAAAGAGAGAGAGAAGGCTGGCCACAGCAACGCATGGCAAGGAATGGCTAGTCTATATAAATAAAAATGTAATGTTCATTTGTGGGATTAACAGAACTCAAAAATGGGATGAAGTCAGATTGCTGGAGTTCCCTCCTTTCAGGACACTTCTGGGTTTTTTTCCAACCATGGAGGGCTATGCATGATGGCCAGAAGTAATTTTAACTCATGTGATGAGCTCAGTGCCTCTCCGTGCTTGAAAAGAGGCCGAAGTGTCCTCCCAGGGGGAAATGTCTCAATGGGATGAGGTCAGATTGCTGGAGTTCCCTCCTTTCAGGACACTTCTGGGTTTTTTTCCAACAATGGAGGGCTATGCATGATGGCCAGAAGTAATTTTAACCCACGTGATGAGCTCAGTGCCTCTCCATGCTTGAAAAGAGGCCGAAGTGTCCTCCCAGGGAGAAATGTCTCAATGGGATGAGGTCAGATTGCTGGAGTTCCCTCCTATCAGGACACTTCTGGGATTTTTTCCAACCATGGAGGGCTATGCATGATGGCCAGAAGTAATTTTAACTCATGTGATGAGCTCAGTGCCTCTCCGTGCTTGAAAAGAGGCCGAAATGTCCTCCCAGGGGGAAATGTCTCAATGGGATGAGGTCAGATTGCTGGAGTTCCCTCCTTTCAGGACACTTCTGGGTTTTTTTCCAACAATGGAGGGCTATGCATGATGGCCAGAAGTAATTTTAACTCACGTGATGAGCTCAGTGCCTCTCCATGCTTGAAAAGAGGCCGAAGTGTCCTCCCAGGGAGAAATGTCTCAATGGGATGAGGTCAGATTGCTGGAGTTCCCTCCTTTCAGGACACTTCTGGTTTTTTTCCAACAATGGAGGGCTATGCATAATGGCCAGAAGTAATTTTAACTCACGTGATGAGCTCAGTGCCTCTCCGTGCTTGAAAAGAGGTCGAAGTGTTCTACCAGGGAGAAGTGTCCTAATGTGATAAGGTGGTAAAACAAGGAAAACAACAGTCCTACTATATTTTGCACTAGTCAGACCTCATCTGGAGTAATACATTCAGTTCCATGCATTTTATTTTAGGAAGGATATAGACAAGTTGGAGCAAGTTAAGAGAAGGCAACAAGGATGATTAGAGGTACAAAGAATTAAAAAAATGAGAGAGTTTGTAAAGAGAAGATTGAAGGGTAACAGGAATCCACCCTTTAAATTCCTCAGGTGTTGTCACAGAGAGGGGAGGACTGCCCAAAGGTCTACTGATGTGGTACATTGAACTTCGGAAATAACTTCTTGACAGTAAGAGCAGTTTGGCAATGGAAACAAGTATCCAGAGCAGTGGTTCTCAACCTGGGGTCCCCAGATGTTTTTGGCCTTCAACTCCCAGAAATCCTAACAGCTGGTAAACTGGCTGAGATTTCTGGGAGTTGTAGGCCAAAAACATCTGGGGACCCCAGGTTGGGAACCAATGATCTAGAGAACTTGTTGGACATCTTCAAACAGAGGCTGGATACCGTTCCCCCGAAAATAAGACATATCCATAAAATAAGCCATAGCAGGATTTCTAAGCATTTGCACAATATAAGCCATATCCTGAAAATAAGACCTAGTGATAGGTGTGGCTATGCAGCATACAAGGTTAGCTCCCTCTATCAGGTCCCGGTCATTCTGTGCGTATTGCAAACTGAGGCATAGAGGGAGACATAGACAGTGAAAGGAAAAGTCTCTTCAGGGAAGTGAGGAGCTGGGCACTCTGCTTTAGGTGTTGTGTGTCCTCAGGGGAAAGAAGTAAAGCTCTGGCTGCCATTTTACTCAGCACTGTGGGTCTATCTCTCCCAGCACTGGCCAGCAACAGTCTATGAGTCTCTCTTACCCCCCACAAACACCAGTAAAGCTGCTGCTCCCCAGCACTGACCAGCAATAATAATAATAATAATAATAATAATAATAATAATAATAATAATTGTTATTTATACCCCACCACCATCTCCCCAAGGGGACTCAGGGAGGCTTACATGAGGCCAAGCCAGACAATACAATACAGCAGTATAAACCAACAATAATATTAAACCAAAAAATAAAAATACAATGCAAACCCATTATAAATAACACATCAGCAATAAAACACAACATATTAAGTAACACAAGGATCCAACACTGTGGGCAGGGCCTAATGTCATAGATTTTAAAAAAATTAAAACACTGGGTGTGGCAGCAATAAAATGAGTCTAAATAGAGGTTTTAGAGGGTGAGGTAGGGTTGATTTCCCCGACTGGTAGAGTAAAGTGCTTCAGAGGACATTTTGCAGAGAACTGGTCAGATCAGGGAATTATTGGTCTTTCAATCAGGGAAGGCACATTGGAACAACCACATTTTCAAGCTCCTCCTAAAGACTGCCAGTGTGGGGGCTTGCCTAATATCCTTAAGGAGCGAGTGCCAGAGTCGAGGGGCCGTCACAGAAAAGGCCCTCTCCCTCGTCCCCACCAGTCGCACCTGCAAAGGGGGTGGGAGCGAGAGAAGGGCTTCTCCAGACGATAAAAGAGATCGCGTGGGTTCGTAAACGGAAATGTGGTCAAGCAGGTAGGCAGGTCCCAAACGGTTCAGGGCTTTGTAGGTAAGAACCTGCACCTTGAATTGGGACCGGAAAATGAATGGCAGCTAGTGGAGCTCCTTAAATAGGGGGGTTGACCACTCCCTGTAATTCGCTCCAGTTAGCAATCTAGCTGCCGCCCGTTGGACCAGCTGAAATTTCCAAATTTGTTATTTGGGAGTTGTAGTTTCTGGGATTTATAGTTCACCCACAATCAAAGAGCATTCTGAACTCCACCAATGGTGGAATTGAACCAAACTTAGCAAACAGAACTCCTGTGACCAACAGAAAATACTGGAAGGGTCTGGTGGGCATTCAACTTGAGTCTGGGAGTTGTAGTTCACCTAAA